GCAGGGAGACAGAGCGCCGCGGCCGGGGGACGGCTTCTGCTCGTCAACTTGAACTTCAGAGCGCCCACGCTCGCTCCCTGCGCACTCGGCTCCATAAACTGCCCTCCGCACAGGAGTCGCTTCATCCGGAGGCAGCTGGAGCCCCCCGGGAGGCCATCATTATTATTATTAATTATCGTGATCCTCGCTGCATTATTAATGACTACAATGATAACTGGCATCGGTATCAGCGTCTCCCGGGCTCCCTGATGTCCCCTGAAGTCGCGGGCGGGAGGAGGTCACTCCCAGGGTAGAGGCCGGTGCGCTCTGCTCCGGGCGCGCGCCAGGGCGGGCTGCTGGGGGCGCGAGGGAAGGGAACAGGTCCCCGGCCCCGCACAGCCCGGCCCTCGCCGGCCCAGCCTTTTCCTCCTGCGGGTCCCTTCTCTCTTCCTCCCACTCCCTACCCCCGGGCCCCTTTGTCTCTTTTGCAGACGGATGTTTTCCGTCTCAAGTGGTGTGTGTTTTTTCCGCACGAAACTCGGAGATCAAGGGCAGACCACTGGCTGGTCCGGAGGTTTGGGTTTCCCTGTGCCCCTCCTTGTTCTCCCGCATCATGGGGGCACCTAGGAAGGCCTGGGCTTTCCAGGCGACCCATGGCCTGCCGGGGTCCGCAAGACCGGGGGAGATGGGTTCTGGTAGGTCCCTGATGGGTGCACCAGTGACATAGCGGACACGCAGGGACCCACCAAGGGCGCACTAGGGGCTTGGTCCTCCCCTCCCCCACATCACTCCACCGAAAAAACCCGAAGGGCCCCGCTAGGCCTGCATGCAAGAGCTAAGACCCAAAGGTCTGGAAATAACACCCCACCAAGACTAAGTTGAACCTCTGATGCGTTTTTTACTTAAATGGACACGGAAAGCTACCCTCGGGATCCAAAGCAGGGCATTTAATAAACGCTGGTGAATTGATTGATTATAGCCTGATAATATCGCTCGGGTTCTGCAGAAACGGAGCTGCTCGGCCCACTGCTACCCCCAGCAGTCCGAAATGAACGGTTTCTATGTTTACCCAGCGGCTCGGAGCAGGCCTGGAGAAAGGTCTCCCTCCTCTCTAAACCCCCCCTCCAGCCCCCAACAGATTATTACTGCTTTTGTTTGTTTGTTTGCTTGCTTTGTTTTAATGTTAGGGAAGAATCTAGATACTTCAGTCTGGATCGGGTGATCGGGCGGACGATCGCGCATAACCCTCAGGCCCGTCCCGCTGGGCCGTAGCAGTTTGAACAGGGTGTTACGAATGACAACTTCTATCAACCTTCCTTAACCAAGGCAGCCCGAGGGCTCGAGTTCATGGTCAAGTCTGTAGGGCTGCTAGGGCCGCACTGTCCACGCCCCGCCCCGCCCCTGAGCCGCCGCGGCCCCGAGGTCGGGCTGGGTCCGGGGCCAGGGTCTTCCCGCCCCGCCCCGCAGGCCCCAGTGTGGGAACTGTCCGTGCTGCGGCCGCCTGGTCCGCTCCCAGGTTCCCGGTTCATTCCCGAGGGCGGACGCGCTTTTGAAGATATGACACCTCGATGGGTCTACAGCCCTGCGTTCTGCCCTCGTCCCGCATCGGGCATCCTGCCTGCCCCGCCATTCGAGAAAGGTTCAGCGAAGCTACCAGACCAGAGCTAGGGGTACCCCCTGGCTTGCGTGCGTGCACACAGGCAGACACACACACACACACACACGCACACACACATGCACACACACAAACGCACACGTCTCTTTCCATCTCTCTCCATGCCCCAGCACACACACGCATGCACTCGCACATGCTTACACTCTTACCCCCTCTGTAAACCCCAGCCACGGGCTCGCGTGGGAGGGATGGACCTGAGTCGCAGAGATTGGGGGCAGATGGCGGGAGGACCCATCAGGAGATGCTCCCCTCCCCCCTCCGCTCTTCCCCAGCCTCCCCACCCTCCGAGGGTGCCCAGTGCCCTGTGCTCTGCACCCAACTTGGCTTTTGAGAGTCCACAGCCCAGGCCGCACTCCCGGGGCTCACACCTCGAGCCGCCAGTGGGACTGAGATGGGTGGGAGTTGGGTCCCTCGGGCTCATTTACCCGGGGAATGTCATGGGCCAGATTGTCCGGCCTGTCCTCACGCCCTCCAACCCTGTGTGTGCACTGGGGGGAGGGAAGAAGGAGCTGACTACCCCCCCCCCATCCCCTACACACACACACACACACACACACACACACACACTTCACCTCCCAAGCCCTGCTTCAGCCTCTTCCTTTCCTAACCCCCTGAAGCCAGGGTTTTTTCTGTCCCTGAGGCCAAGGCGGGGGTCCGAGGGAGCGAGCCGAAGCGCCGCGCCGCTGGAGTGGGTGGGGGGTGGAAATAATAGTAATGTTCATGTCAAAGGTAACGGGCGCAGCTAACACTCCGCGCCCGGGTGTTCCCTAGAGGCCGGCGGAGGCTTGGGGAGGCTCCGGCCACCGCCGAGCTGGGGCTGAGCAGGGAGGGGAGGGGGGTGCCCT